TAGTTAAGGCATAACTGGATTATTCCAACATTTACAATCTGAAGAAGTAGGACTATGGAATAAAAGAATCTCAGGGCTAAAAAGCACCTCCCAAGTTATCCAATTTGGTATTCTTATCTTTTTGGGGGAGGATTACAGACTTCTCTGGGAAGCAAATGAAAAGTTATACACGTTCTTAGAAACACACATAGGGCTTCCCTCATAGCTCAGTTGGTAAATCATCTGCCTGCAACGCAGGAGACCCAGGTTCAATTCCTGGGTCGGGAAGATCCCCTGGAGAAGGAAATGACAACCCACTCCAGTATTCCTGCCTGGATAATCCCATGGGCAGAGGACCCTGGCGGGCACAGTCCATGGAATCACAAGAGTCAGACACGACTTAGCAAATAAACCATCTCCACCAGAAACACATAAGGCACACAGCAAGCATAATTTGGAACTTCATTTGAAAGAGTTTGAAAGTTTATGAATTCTAGATTAAGAACTACAGATCATGCCCTAATTCCTCATTTTCAAAACCAAAAGTTGAATCCTAGAAAGGTTCAGAGATTTACTTGTCCAAAGGCACACAGCTGGGTGACAGGAGCGCTTGTATGAAACACCCCAGTAAGCCTGACCTACTTCAAGATGCTTTTCTGCTCCACCGTTCTCCAGAGAGAGGCTGTGGTTATCTGTAGCCATAAAACAGAAAAGTCACTCATGTCTCCAAAAATCAATGAGTTTTAGGCTAAGGATGGGGACGCCACTTCTTTTCAAATATGGAAACACCCCCAAATTGTAAGTATAATATTACGACCCCAGCAGTCCTGACCTGTGCAAATGACTATCACCTGGGATGCCAGTCCCAAACATTAAGTTGCCTACATCTCATCTCCATGAGCTGTAATCCATTATTTCTGAGGCAGGGCCCTGATGGCTATACTTTTCATAAGGACCCTCAGAGATTGTGACTGGATAGTTCCAGTTTAGAGACATGATTCACAAATGTTTTTCCAGAAGCTCAATTCTTTGTTCCACCCAAGTCTTATTTAGAAAACCCAGACACATCAATAAAAGCAGAGCTGCTGGGTAGTCTCTTAAAGCCAGTCTGAAAACCATTGTCCTAGAAGACAACACAGGTAATGGGACCAGGAGCTGGACTTCACCACTCATGGATCTCAGTTTTCCTATTTATGAAATTCTAAATTCTCTAAATTCAGCTCCAGTATCCTATAACCCCACAAACATCACTACCATCACACTACCATTCTGCCCTCAGTTGCTAAGTATGTCCAACTCTCTGTGACCCTGGGCTGTAGCTCACCAGCCTCCTCTGTCCATGGGATTACTCAGGCAAGAATACTGGAGTGGGCTGCTATTTCCTCCTCCAGGGGATCTTCCCAACCCAGGAATCAAACCCCAGCCTCTTGCAACGAGAGATTCTTTACCACTGAGCCACCAGGGGAGCCCTATTCTACCATTATGAACACAATGTTTAGCAAGCACTTGCGATGTTCCTAGCACCATTCTTTTATTTAATCTTTAAAATCACTCTATGAGATTAAGTACAGTAGATCCTTGAACAACACGTGTTTAAATTTTATGAGTCTACTCATACTCCTATTTTTTTTCAATAGTATTACACTACTACACAATGCACCGTTGTTGAATCCGTGGATGCAAAAACCACAGCTAGGGAGGAACCTTACATGTAGAGGGCCAACTACAGGCTGTGAGACGATTTTCCACTGCCAGAAGGTTGGCACTGCTAACCCCTGTTGTGCTATTAATCTATTATAATGGTGAGGAAACTGAGGCTCAGAGAGATTATATTACAATAGCTGTGGTTTTATATATAGATATATATATATGTAATACACACACACACACACACACACACACACATTCTCTTATTTAATCTACACCACAAAATTGGGAAGTAAGAACTGAGCTTTAGAAAGATAGTTTCTTATCTAAGGTCAAAGAGCAGGTCTGTCAGATGCTAAAATCCATTCTAACCAAAAAATTAGTACAAGTTGGATCCCATACTTTACTAGAAAACCTTTTAAATGGCATCCACTTTCATGTGGTTATTGTGGTATTAGTGATCTGCTTTCATATATTCATAGAGATGGCTTAGCCCCAAACTAGATTATAAACACTCTGAGACCAGGGATTATTTTATATCTTTCAATTTCCTACTCTATGAAATACTGGCTGTGCATTAAGTAGGTCTTTATTCAATCAGAAGTGATCTTCTAAATCCTTTTTTGTTATTAACTTGACTTTCCCCCCCAATAATCTGAAGTAAACACACTAATTTCATTTAGATCAACTCTTGAAATTAAAAAATTCCCCTCTGAGTCAGTTGCTGGAAGGGAGAAAAAAGACTTTTTTCAGTTTAATGATTTTTACCTTTGCCCCTGGGGAAAGGAATTATATTAATATTTTACTGTTAATAAGTATCTCTTTCCAGGCATTTTTTTCTCAAAGTTTCTTGCATTTTTTGCTATATCAACTGATAGGTAACAGAGTGAAAATAAGCAGATGGTTAAAGACAAGAACAGAAAATCTTGGAAGGTGCTTATAGTACCTACTTATGCCACTTGAAAATATCGATTTGACATTTCACAGGAAGTGGGGCTCATTAAGTAATATTCTTCAAACAGCAAAAAATACTGACTACAAGTAATTTTTCTTAAATGCTATTTTAATTTTGGATATTGTCAGCCTGTGGTCAGATACACCATCACCTTCCATCTGTAACTCCTTGCCCACATATTTGAAACTGAATGCCTAGGACTACTTCTGATCTCCCCTGCTCATTGTAGCTCCATGGTTCCACAAACAGCCCCATAAGAGTTGTTAATTTCCCAGTTGTGACCTACTTTAAGTCTATTTTGGAGTCTCGTTTAATCTAACACATATGTAAACCCATACAACACAGAAAAAGCTATGGTTTTTCCAGTAGTCATGTATGGATGTGAGAGTTGGACCAGAGAGAAGGCTGAGCACTGAAGAATTGATGCTTTTGAACTGTGGTGTTGGAGAAGACTCTTGAGAGTCCCTTGGACTGCAAGGCGATCCAACCAGTCCATCCTAAAGGAAATCAATCCTGAATATTCACTGGAAGGACTGATGGTGAAGCTGCAATTCCAATACTTTGGCCATCTGAGGCAAAGAACTGACTTCTTAGAAAAGACCCTGATGCTGGTAAAGATTGAAGGCAGGAGAAGGGGACAACAGAGGATGAGATGTTTGGATGGCATCACTGACTAGATGGACGTGAATTTGAGAAAGCTCCGGGAGTTGGTGATAGACAGGGAGGCCTGGTGTGCTGCAGGTCAGGGGGTCACAAAGAGTCGGACACGACTGAGCAACTGAACTGATACAACATAGATAAAACTAGTCATAATAAAAAAAAAAAGAAAAAAAAACTAGTCATAATAAGAAATGAGGTTAAAGTAAGGGCACAATATTTTGGTCTCTAAACTTTGACAGCATAAACCATCTAAAGCAATGGTTCTTCAATTTCCTTTAAGGAATATCTTTTAAATGTAGATGCCTAGAGCCCTTCCTCAGACCTGTTTGCACAGTGGGGCCCAGACCCCTGTGACCTTCATGAACAGATAATTTTGATGCTGTACACATCCTTTGTTGTGTACACATCCTTTGATGGTGCACATCCTTTCTTCATTCATTGAACAAACATTTCATGAGGGCCTTTGACGCATACCAAATTTTGAATATAAACATTTTCTTCTTAGTGTAGTCCCCTGGCTCACAAACTAACAAGCAACTTGAGGAAAAGGATCATGACCTATGTTTTGAAAGAAGTACTTCCCCCAGCCCATCCTTAAACCCAGCTGGGCATTTAGGAGGCAAATGTTATACTGCTTGGATCACCAGCCCCTCCAATAAAACAGGTTGATACACCTTCAGATACTGCACTGGAGAATATTTGTAAGCCTGGACTTTGTAGGTATCCAAGGAAATCTGCATGGTGTGTGTATGTGTGTGCATGGATGTGTATATTCTTAATTCTGCATTGAGACTAAGCTAAGCGAAACTCAGATCGTAACATTAAACTTCTGTTTTGAAGTTTGGCTATGAACCCAAAACAACAACATATACACCAGGAAATGCATATCAAGGTAGGGAAGATAAATATCTCAACAAATATACTTTCTTTTCTACGTACGACAACCCTCATTTCTTTCCGATTCTCACATCACTCTGCCCTCTAAACAATATTCAAATAGCTGAGTGCCACTGGGCTCTTTTAAACCAGGAACTTACAAAACGGCTTTTCAAACTTTGTTCATTCCGAAAGCACACAGCGTAGCTCAAATGAACACGCACAGTTGCCGCTAGATCGTGAGGGTTGGGAGGAGTCCATCTCAGAGGCTGTGTTACCGCCTCCCTCTCTGTGGTCTGCGTCTTAAGAGAAGCGTGGCATGAAGCTGGCAGTGACCAAGGGCACTAGTGAAAAGCGGCTCTTGCTGAGGGAAGGGCTACAACAGGATGGGTGTGGGAGATGTGTCTGGTCAATGTTTGGGCAACAAATGACTCCAACTGTGCTTACTGAGGGGCAAACACCCACCCGCATGTAACGGAGTCTTAGAGCAGTTGGAAAGGGAGCAGGAGCCGCTCAGATCTCCTTTTGTTAGGCTCTTTAGAGAAGAGCAGGGAGACATGTGGAGGGAAACCGAGACAGGAGATAATGGGGAACAAGCTAGTGCTCACACATCAGCAGACAAAGCACCCGCCAGTGTCCTTCACTGCCTGCAAAGGCGATCAAGAGACCAGCAAGGAAACAGTCCCCCAAGGGAGGCGTGGCGGGCCAACTTTACCAAGATGCTCCGTGACCGTAAATATCTCCTGACCTGCCCTCTACAAACCCTTCAGGACAACTCGGTGACATCTCTCCTGATCTCTGAAAGACACTAATCTGGGGCAAGAAAAAAAGGAAATCTTTTTCAAAAAGTACAAGAGTCAGAGCAATTGAAAGCATTCCTTACCAATTTTGTAACGTCTTTCACATCATCAGTCACACGGCTCCCGCAGATCCCTTGAGAGTGGACGAGAGGATTAAATAGGAGCAGTTGAAGATAAATGCAAGTGATAATCCAAGTCTAAATGGAAAGAGAAAAAATGCTGGTGACCATCAGTAAATATCCATAATCACTCAAACTATTAACAACTAACATTTTCTGCCTTAATGTGGAAAAAAGAATTTTTTTTTTCTTTTAATGCTACTGGCTTAAATACAATTAAATGCCTTACACACAAACTATGCTAACCAAATTTCTTAAAAATTCTCAGTTAAAATACAGTTTGGATTTTTTATTTCAATGACAGTATCGTTAACTTTTGTCAAAAGCTGTCTATGGGCAATTTCCCAAAGGCAATTAGAAACGAACTTGTAGCAACACGAAAAGAATTTATCACTTAAGCTATTTTCTAAAAACTAGGGAATGTATAAAATTTGTGCCTTAAGGCACCAAAAAAAATTTCTCTACTTTAAATGTAGACTGTTTGGCAAGTAACAGCAAAACTCTGAGCATTGCTTCAACCCAATAACCTACTAGAACACCCAGTTAAAGTGAGGGAGAGATATTTTTATCTAGGAAAGAATTTAATCTAATTTGTGAGACATCAAAAGAATCATTGTTTTGAATCAATTTTTTAGCAATTTAACAAGGAAAAATATTTTCTTAGTCAATGAGAAGACATTTTTGAACACCAGCATGAAGTAATCACACACACACACACACACACACACACACACACACGCTACCTCTCTTTCCAAATAACTCTTTCAACCATGTTAAATAGTTACTTTTATGCATGGCTTACTTCTTATTACCCTATGTTTTATATTTCTAAAAATTGGGGCATCTATTTTTTTTCCCCCTCAGTATCTTTATAAGACATAACAGCACCTGGAATATAAAAAGCTCTTGCTAAATATTTGCTGGATGAATCAGTGATCAAGGTTAAAAAAGAGTCTAATGCTTCAAATTTGACACCTATTTATTGAACTTGTATGAGACAGAGACCGAGCCAGCCAGAGAAACAAAGGTGATAAGACTCCCCTGAAATGCAGACTCAGGGAACTAAGTAACACCCACACCCTGTGATAAATGTTTTGGGAACCCAGAGGAGGAAGCAATTAATCAATTAATCTTAAGGGAGAGAACTCGTGGCAGAAAGGCAGTGCCAAGAAAAGCCACAGAAAATATGTGACTCCAACTGGATTCTGGTGGACAGAGGAGGAATTTGCAAGAGTTGACAGGGAAGGGATGAGCATTCCGGGAAAAATAAACAACAGGAGCAAAGGCATGGAGATGTGATGATATTTTAAAATGTGAGAATTCTTTTATGAGTTAACATTCATCTATGGCATCTTAAAATTACACAAAGGCCCATCTGTACATGGCTAGAAATCTTTCCTACTTATTATGTAACCAGCCATGTATTAAATGGAACTGAATTATTATTTTCAGTTAATATCTGCCAGCTTAATAGATATTATACTGGACCAAGTTACAATTATCATTTACTGAAATTTCTAAGACTACAATGCTACCTACATAGATAATAATGTAGTATAAACAAAACTAAAATCCCTTCATTGTTTTACCATTGTAATCTATGATTACATAGATGATCATAGGTAATCATTAGCAGTAATCCTGCTTAATTTTGTTTAAGGCTACTTTGAGCTTAGTGGGATCCTGCTTTTCTCCCTTGGGCCAAAATAAAGACTAAATTGTGTACATCAGGGGTCCCTAACCTCTGGGATCTAATGCCTGATGATCTGAAGAGAAGCTGAGTAATAAATAATAGAAATAACATGCACAATACATGTAATATGCTTGGGTCATCCCCAAACCATCCCCATCTCTACCCTGGCCCGTGGAAAAACTGTCTTCCATGAAACTGGGCCCTGGTGCTGAAAAGGCTGGGAACCGCTGGTGTAAATGATTTGTTTGGGGGATTCTGCTTTTTGGACAATCCCAACACATAACATCTCCTCTAACAGTCTCCCTTCATGTATGTAAACACAATGCTTAAACTCATAGTTTCTCTCATACTGTCACTACTAAAATCTAACCCTCCTTTAAAAGATATTTCTCCTACACCCTCTTCCATGATCTGACTTTGGAATCTTCCCTAAGGATCTCTATAAAGGGCCAGTCTCTAGTAACCTTACTCATATTCTAGGCTGTAAGAAATATAAAGGAACAGGGATGAGGGAGGGGGAATTCGATAAAGGTGATCAAAAGGTACAAACTTTCAGTCAAAAGATAAACCACTACTAGGGATGTAGTGTATAACATGATAAATATAATTAACACTGCTCTATGTTATACATGAAGGTTGTTCGAGAGTAAATCCCAAGAGTTCTTATCACAAGGAAAAAAAAATTTCTGCTTCTTTAATTTTGTATCTATATGAGATGACAGATGTCCACTAATCTTAATATGGTCATCACTGCATGATGTATGTAAGTCAAATCACTATGCTGTACAACTTATATAGGGGATATGTCAATTATATCTCAGTAAGACTGAATGAAAAAAAAAGAAATACAAGGGCAGAAATTCTGTTGATTTCTCTTTACCATGTCTTATGTCTGACCCAGAAGAAACACTCCACAAGCATTTGTTCACTCATTCATTCAGCAAATATTTATTAAGCACCCAGTGCTACTGTGTGCTGGGCACTGTTCTAGATGCTGGGGATATATTAGTAAAAAAAAAGAAAAAGCAAAAATCCCTACCCTCAAGAAGCTTAACTTCTAGTGAGAGAAGGCAGACCATGACTAATAAAACTGGTAAATAGCCAGATTATATAGTATGTCAAAAGTGTGCCATGAAAAGAGAAACATTAGATCTCAGGAGAGGGACTGGGCTTATAATGCCTACTCTTCTTTACTAGCAGCAGGGTCTTAGGTTCCAGGTGACAGTTATACTCATGAGGCACTGGAGGCCTCATCCAGCATCAAGTGTATTACTGAGCTTTGAGAAAGGAAACAGGAGAGGTGACAGGCAGCACGCACAGCAGGGTAGAACTCATGATGACTCCTGCACCATCTCTAATATCCACATATCACTACACCCTTGGGGTACGTGGCAATGATTCACAATGCTGGCTGGGCAGGACCACTTCTCAGGCTTATGTCTCGCTAGTTGAGTAGCCCCATCAGGGACATGCCATGAGCTGCCACTCATTCTCCAGTATAGCTACTCCCACCAGTCTCCACAATAACGTGCATACTGGTGATTGTTCTGCTCCCTAGTAACTTCAGCAGGATTCTCTTGGGTGAAGGTTAGGTCTACTCCTATCAGTTACTTGAGTTCTTGATACAAAGAGGAAGGTAGAGAGGTCAAATCCCCAGGCATCTCTGAATCTAGAGAAAAGGCCACAGTACCAGCTATTAACGCCACCTCTCTTTCCCCAGAGACTGCAATATGAATGACTGCAAAAAGAATACTTTTTTGGTGGGGCCCCATTGGGAAGGCAATGTTTTATCAAAGATTAGAAGGCACTAAGGGAATTATCCATGCAGATGTCTGTAGGAGAGTATTATAGACAGAGAAAGAGAAGCTACTGCTAAGTCCCTAAGGTCTATTTTGTTGTTTTCAGTGGAATCTTTCAAGATATTTTATTATAAAAGTAAAATATTATCATTACCAAACACTTGGAGAATAAAGAAAAAACCTACTTGGAATGCCACGACCCTGACAATTTTTAGCAAGTGTATCTCCCCCCTGCCATTATAAAAGAAATGCGTACTCATTGATTTAAGGAACCTGCTTTATTCAAGGAAGAGCAAGAAGAAAGCCGGGCTTCTCGGGTGGTGTTAGTGGTCAAGAACCCACCTGTCAGGGCAGGAGACAAGAGACTTGGGTTCTATCCCTAAGTTGGGAAGATCCCCTGGAGGAGGGCATGGCAACCCACTCCAGTATTCTTGCCTGGAGAATCCCATGGACAGAGGAGCTGGGTGGGCTACAGCCCATAGGGTTGCAAAGAGTTGGACAGGACTGAAGCAACTTAGCACACACGCATGCATGTGAGATTAAAGCACGGAGCAATGAAGAAGATGATGTCAAAGAGAACAAGTCAGATCACGTAGGGTCTTGTATACTCATCTGGATTTTTGACATTTACTGTGAACCAAGTGGGATTCGTTGCAGGATTTTCAGCATAGGAGCCAGATGACATATTATATAATAATAATTAAAAAAAACTGGCTGTTTCTTACAAAACTGAACATACACTTACCATACGATCCAGCAATCATGCTCCTTGGTCCTGTACCAAGGAGCTTAAAACACATATCTTACTGATATATACTGTTTACTGATTTCTATAGCAGCTTATTCAAAACTGCCAAAATTTGGAAACAACCAGAATGTCCTTCAGCAGGTGAACAGATGAATAAACTGTGGTATATCTGGGCAACGGACTTTTACTCAGCACTAAAAAGAAACGAGCTATGAAGCCATAAAAAGACATAGAGGAAATAAATGCATATTATAAAGTGAAGAAGCCAATATGAAAAGGCTCTACACCATTTGATTCCAACTCCTCTGTCATTCCAGAAAGGGCAAAACTATGCAAACAGTAAAAAGATCCGTGTTGCCAGGGGCTGGAGCAGGAGGCATGCACAGACAGAGCATGCATGCGTGTGTGCTCAGCTGTGTCCGACTCTGTGCGACCCAATGGACTGTAGCCCACCAGGCTGCTCTGTCCATGGGCTTCTCCAGGCAAGGATACTGGCGTGGGTTGCCACTTTCTTCTCCAGGAGATCTTCCCGACCTAGGGATCGAATTCATGTCTCTTGCATTAGTAGGCAGATTTTCCTTTTACCACTCAGCCACCTAGGAAGCCCACAGACAGAGCACAGAGGATTTCTAGTGCAGTGGAAGTACTCTATATGATAATTGTGAATACATATAATTATATGTTTGTTTAAACTCACAGAAGATACACCACCAAGAGTAAACCCTAGCATAGACTATGGGCTCTGGGTGATTAAGGTATATCAATATAAGTCCATCAGCTGTAACAAATGCACCACTCTGATGGGAGATTATTGATAATGAGGGAGGCCCTGTGTGTG